GGCCCTGGCGGCTCCGCTCACGCATTTCCCGGGGAAAAGCCTTTTCCTGCGGCTTCCCCTGCGGGGGCCGGCGGGCGCTGAGGGCAAACCCGCCAAACCGGCGCAAATCCCGCCACTTCAATGCCATTTATTCTGCCCCCTTTTTTTTTTTTAAAAATGAGCTCCATAATATGTTTGCTTCGAAAGACTCAATATTTACCCGAAGAGCAAAAGTTTTTTCTGGGGAAGTATTTTTTTTAATTTTTTTTTTTTGCCCTAGCTAACAGTATTCATTAAGCACTAATCAAGACATTAATTCCAGCACTGGGAGCGAGATGTGACGCAACAACCACTTGGTAGAATTTATAGGCAAGTTAGCTGCACTGTACTGCACAGAAAGTTACCGGGAAAGATTTTTTTTTCAGTGAGCAAGAGCTATAGATGCCTGTGATTCAGAGGAAACAGATGTTTTAATGGTGATAAAGGGATTTTAATGCTGTGTGATTGTCTTCCAAACAGCGACATCAGAGAACCTACCTACAAATGCATTTATTACAGATTAGTGAATTATATGAATGAGCATTTTTTCCTGATTTCAGGTCAGTTGAATGTACGTAAATAAGTGAGTTCCAGGACAAACACCACAATATCATAGGGGTGAAAACACGTCTTCATCATTTCCTTCAAGTCAGGCTAAGAAAGAAATGGGAAGAACTGTTCCTTTGATACAGGAAGAAAATACGTCTCTCTGCTCAAAAGGCTTTTGTCATGTAAGAAAACATGACCACAGCAACACAATTTTTATGACTTGCCTGTTTTATAAAGGCAAAGGAGGGCCAAACTTGCATTAGTGCATCACTGCTATCTCTGCAAGATTTTCATTTTGCTTATAGCCCAGTTAGTCCTCATTTGACATTAATGGAAAGAAAAACATAGCATCTGGTAGTTGCCACAGTATTTTGCAAACAAGCATTTTGAGTTTAACAGTCTGTAATGTGTATTGATTACTCACCATATCCATGAATGCCTCCTAAAGGGGAAATTATTCACATGCATCATGTTCACAGATCTTCCAGCATTAGGGTTTTCCTTGTCAGACAGATTTATCTGTGACGGTATTCATAGATGCATTCCAGAACAACTGCATTAGCAGTTAACTGCTGGGATTATTGCAAGAATTACTGTAATCCACAAAAATAAAAATTCCCAGGATCCAAAGAAAGACTTCTCACAGGGTTTTCTAGGTACACGTCCATCCATTTATGCATCACTTGCTACTTAAAAAACATTTCACTAATCAGTGTACAGAAACTGTTATGACAATGCCAACAGTTTGCCTTGATAAAAATCCAAGTGCTTTGACTGTGAATTAAAGCATCTTCATATGCAGCATTTTGGACAGTTGGAAAAGGTTAGTCAAAAGATAGTTTCTTGTCATCCGTGCCAAATCAGTGGTTAGGGGGAGACGGGTAACTTCAGATTGCTTTGCCATGGTCAGAAATGAATATTGCTTTTTCTTCTTCCTTAGACACATATTCATCAGTGATCACTTTAATGCAGTCTTCCTTTCTTACAAGCCCAGGGAGCAGGATGATGTTTAGTAGCCATATAAAACAAACCCAAACTTCTTTCTGAATTTGGTATCGTGGGTTTATTTCTTCAACTAAGAAAGAAGGAAGGAAGTATACTTTTTCCGCTCCATAGGACAGGACTGCAGTTAGATACCATCGTGAGATATGATTATATCATGACCAAATTCATTTTTGCTGTCTAACCCCATAATAAGGCTGCCCTTCTCCCTTTACGTAAAATGACTAAGCTATCGAGTCTTTCACTGCACAACCTAGTTCTATTAGGATGTTATACTGTATTTAAAACCACGTGCATCAATTTGTATGTCGCAAAATGAAAACAAAGCTTTAAGTCCGGTGTTACCTAAGCACTCTTTCTCCGCTGTCCTTTTTTTTTTTTTTTTTTTTTTCCCAATTCAGCTCCCAGAGAGTAGCTATCACTCCTGACGCCCCGGTAAAATATCCTCGGGAAGATTCTTCAACCCAAGCTCCAAAGAGAGACGGCGTCTTATTTTCCAGCAAGGCGCGGGCAACAGGCTCTCTCTCTCTCTATCCGCTTCCTTTCCCCTGACGAGGGTTTCCAACCAACCTACCCCTGGGGGCTTCTTGTATCCTTGGCCCGGCAGCAGCAGCAGCGGCTCCGGACACTTGGGGACTGGGTGGCACTTACTCTGCAGCAGCAGCAGCAGGAGCAGGAGCAGCAGCAGGAGCAGCAGCAGGAGCAGCAGCAGCAGCAGCAGCAGCAGCAGCAGCAGCGGGCTGGGCTCGGCTGCGGTGCGGGCTCTGCCCGGCGGAGGCTGCGCTGCCGTCAAGGGGGCCCTCTAGGTGGGTTCTCCTGACACAGCGCATCCTGCCCGCCCTCTCCCACCCACCGGCACGGGGGGAAGAGCAAAGCCGGACGGCCTTCCCTAAAAAAAAAACAACCTCTGACTGCTCCCCCGGGTGTCTGAAAGCTGAGAAGATTTTGCACGCGAGTGCAGAATTTGTGCGGGAAAGATACAGGTAGGACGCTGAGTTTGCTGTGTTTATCCCTGCTAGAGATTTTAAAATTTCTAGACAGGCTCGTATACTTCAGGCCACGTATATCGTTTACTTGCCATTCTTTTTTAAACGGTTTACACTGCACTAAGACTTTTTAAACTTGAAATAACCCCTTGCCCTTTTGGACAGGAAATCCTGCAGTATGGAAGCCAGCTGCAACTTCAATGACATTAAAACATGCGATAAGGCTGTGTATTTGATTAGGGTGTGGGTGGAATTGGGAGTAACACGATAAGATACTGCACTGCACATTTTTATGGATCCTATTTCCTTAAGCTCGCTTCTGCTGCTGTCACAGCTCTATTCTACAATACCCCAAATTAGCCCTAGTACAGTTGATGCCATTCTGGAGGAAGAATAAGACATTAAACTACTTGACTGTCACAATGTGTTGACAGTGAAATAGTATTTCTTTTAGTTCAGTAATAAAAAGAGAGCCTGTACTGCTGCATATATTTGTATGTTGCTGTACTTTGAAGACTTGGAGCACCAAAATACAACAGATTCCAAAATTTAAAGGGGCTCTAGCATCATTTGTGTCCTACTACCCTATGCAGAAGGTAGGGATTTGTTTTTGCATTTAAATACAACCACGATAGAAAGCAGATACTGAGAGTTACAAATGTGAGAATGAAAATTAATCTTTTTTCACTAAGAAGTTACAAAACAAAGTATATAATCTTGTTCACTAAAGATAAACAACCAGTATAACTCTTAAAAGGATCAGGTAAGCTTTTATAACTGTTACGATATGTTAACGCTTTATGTAAAAAGCACTGCTCCTCCCCCTCCCCAATTACTTTGGGAATTTATGCCAGAGACATTTGAAAATAATAAATACAAAACTTTGAAAACTGCAATGTTGCGTGATTAATCTGAATATAAAAAACATTAGATCTAACTAATCCAGTTGTCTATTGCTTTCTCTAGCCTAGATCCACTTATTATGAAATATTAACAACACCAAATGCTACACAAATCTGCACCATCATTATTATTTCATATTGCACTTACCTAACTGCATACTTGCCCGATCATCCATGGGCACTGACATTTTCAACAATAGACTTACTTAATGTCTTGTACTATCTTGAGAAAGAGCTTCTCAACAGTGACCTGGGACCTAACACATCTGAAATCTGCAGGCAAATCTATTCTGCACCTATATGCCCATTTATCTGGTTTTCTCTAGTAGTACGTTCAGGCACAAACCATAGTACCCATTGACTCAACTAATTTCATTCAGAAGCAGAGTTGCAGAAGGAGAGTGGGTGTTACTATGAAGTTACTGCATAGCATTACAAACCCGTTAAAGAACTCGCCAACAAAATGGTACACACAATATATGGGCTTTCCAGAGCAGAGATAAATTAAAGCCAGAGACTTTAACCAGTAAAGAATTTTTGTTACGCAGGCTGACTTGTGAAATTCTTCCAGTTCAAGTCCACAACAGTTTGCTAATCAGTTCACCTTGGAAAAAAAAAAAATGTAATGGCTTAAAACATTTAGTGATATTAACTTTAATGGCATCACTTTTTCTGACAGGATAAGCGTTTTGGTAAATCAGTTCGAATTCAGGTTCAACCAAGTTCAAGGACTTCAAGCACAATTTCAGTTCAAGCAGAAAAAATGGGGGAAAAAAGGGCAATTGAAAGCAGATTTTGCTCTGATTCCTTGGTTCTGCTACCATGACAGTGCTCTGACCACCAGAATTTAGGGCACAGGAAAGTCTAGCACATCTTCTTGGTTTGTGCAGAATCTAGGCTAGGCACAAAGCAGCTGGAGGGAGAAAGAGACGAAAACAGGAGTCTGCAAGTGATAACGGCTCTTCCCTGAGATGGAGGAGTCCCACATTCCAGTCCCTTCTATAAGGTCTCCTTGAAAATTTTCCACTAAAATTAATTAGGTAATGGATAAGGTAGGTTTGTAGCAGGAACCAGATTACCTGGAAGCACTTCTCACTTCCAAATAAATAGTCACATTGGACTATAAAGTGAGGATCTATCGTCTTTCTCTTACTGGTCTTAGGAATCTTGCATTTCTGACAGTCCAATGAAACAACTAAACAGGGAGGAGCGATATGTATGTCCTATAAACCTTGGTTTTAATCATCCTATTGACAGTGCAAAATTGCAAACACCTTTCCATTCTGTTCTCTCGGCTTAGGAGAACCAAAGAGTATTATTTGCATGTCTACTTTTTCATTTCCACATAGTCTTCCTCCCACAGCATTCAGCTTTCCAATTACCTAGTGATACCAGAAAATTCACTTCAGAATTGACTAAGTTCTGTGTTTGTCAAGTCCTGCAGAGTTTTTTCTTTGCCTCTTTTCATATCTGCAAATGCACTAGCAGACACCAGAGGAAGAGTTTACCTCGTGACATAGAATATAATCATAGAATAGTTTGAGTTGGAAGGGACCTTTAAAGGTCATCCAGTCTAGCCCCCCTGCAATGTGTCTTCAACTCACTCAGGTTGCTCAGAGCCCCATCCAACATGACCTTGAATGTTTCCAGGCATCTACCTCCTCTCTGGGTGTTTCACCACCGTCTTCGTAAGGACTTTTTTTCCTTATATCTAGTCTGAATCTACACTCTTTTAATTTGAAGCCATTGTCCCTCATTCTACCCCATTAGGCCCTGATAAATCATGACAGAACTAAGAGAGGTAAGAACAGTTGTTCTACCAGTGACAGCTTTTTAATATAAAAATCAACATAAACAATTAAAATATATAATACACACCACAGAGGTCATGAGAAACAAGCTGAACCAGGAGCATACAGTACTACCATTTGTATGCTAAGAAGGAGTACAAATTTTCTGTAGAGACCAGTTTAACTTGCTACATTCTTTTGATTTTTACAAAAAGGGGCAAAAAAGAAGTCATTGAATCTACTATTTTGGTGACAATACAATAACATACAGGGCAAGGTAAAGCTAATGCTTAAAGAAATGCTGAAAGCCACCTCTTAATTAGAGTACACAGAATTTCATCAGTGTTACTACTAAGTAGTGATAATCACCAATGGTAGCTTTTTTGAGACAGTACATGAGCTGGTGACTGCAACCAGTAGATTCCGGGAAAATACCAACAAAAAAACCTTATCAAATTTGGTGATTATATAAAAATTATCATAATGGCCTCCAACAAATGAATGGGTGTGGTGCCTGAAATATGCTGTCAGTGACAATGAGGGTTCATTGAGATCAAGCCTGAGGTATGTGATATAGGCTAGTGCAAGAAACATATTGCTAACACAAATATTGTGCAGACAGGTAATTTCAGCCCTTAGAAAAACTGAAGTAAACATTCTTTTAAATTAAAAAAAAAGCAAAACATCACATTTTTGCAGGCAGTTTTTTTTTTTTTTAAACTCAGTAAAGAGATTATCCAAAACAGAAGGAAAGAATTGATTAAAAATTAAGTCACTTAAATGTTTACAGTGATTCATATGTACCCTTGTGAAAATATAATGTATGTATGTAACAATTCGTCATGCTCAGGATTACTTTCTACATTTTGAGTGTTAGGATCCCTTTATTATTTATGAATTCTCCATGAAAACTATACAGATTAAAAAATCAACTTGATTAGTGAAATGCATCCCACTGTATACAGTTAAAAGAAAATCATCCAAGTGATAGTTCTTTCATTACACAACTTTTTAGGTCCACAGAAGTTATCTTCAATAATAATAGCATAGAAAGTAAAGGCATACATTCATCTCATCAGAATCCTCAATAGAGCAAGAAGATAAGCGCAATAAGCTCCTTACCACATTTTAGACTGCTTTACTCACAGACAGGTGTTACATTAGTGTACATCAAGCCAAGTAACTTAGCTTTTTGTCCTGTCTGCTTCCTCTACCATCCACCCTGCACGGAAATTAGCTCACTATTGGACCCCCTTCTGGAGTAAGCAAACTATTCCTTCAGAGAGAAAAACCTGTGCAACTTTAGAAGCACTCTGCTACAAGCAGTCCAGATAACAGTAGATTTATTTGTCTCCATTCTTCCTGTACAGTTTTGTTGCATTCCTACAGGTCTTCCACCCTCAGACATCTTCGTGACGAATCATAAGGCATGCAACGTGCATTTTTGTGTCATGCTATAGAAACACCATTCCAGTGGGTTCTGACAGAGCCTCACATGATTTCAGACACTTTGAACTGAAAAATGACAGAGAAAAATTGTTTCTCTGTACCCAGAGGTCTAAACGAATGCTACACAGTGTGGATATAACCCACTCTGCATAACTTGCCCTCAGGGCTTGAGAGCTTAGAGGCATAATTATCTCATTGAAATTAATACTAAAAGAGAAAACTTCAAAAAACACATAGGTCACTTCCTAACAACAATCATGAATTAGGTAATGTTGCTAAGAGCTTGTGGCTAACCCTTAAGAAGAAAAAGACCTTATTTATCAAGTATATTTTTGTTCTGAAAATGATGTGCTCAACTCTAAATGTAATTTGAGCAGAACATTCTTCATCCAAGCCCCAGCCCTTTTTTGAAGTCCAAAGAATCTTCAGGTCAAGAACTTTGAAAAATTAATATTTCATGTGTCTTCTGTTAACTTCTTAGCTTGTTCTGTCTCTCTGTCCTTTTTTCCCCTTCTATTAGAGCAAGAGCTGGTT